AACAACAACTATGAATGCCCCAAAGGAGAAGAAATTGCAGAAGGGAAGGTGCAGACAGGGGTCTTCAGAAATGGAATTTTCCTCTTCAGCTAATCAGAAACGGGCAAGAATTTATTTCCTCCTTTGGGGGCATGTTGACTTGCCATTACATACAGAAATCAACAAGGAAATCTCTGGGCTCTTTTCTGGCTGGAGAAACCCCCCTCCCCCCCCCCAAAAAAAATAATAATAATTACCCGGGTAGTTTTCCTAGAAAGCTTGCTGAAATATGACCCCGTTCTGAAAAATCCAGCTTGCAAGGAGAGGAGGAGCTTTGGGAAAGAAGGGGGGGTGAGGAGAGGAGAGGAGAGGGAAGCTTGGACCAACGTGTTCGTCCTCAGGAGATCCCCAGCCTTTACAAAACACACAGGGTTTGCCCACAGCCCAGTCAAAACAAGCAGGGATAGGGTTACAGTACCATGGCCACCTGCCTGGGGAACACAGCAAAGACACCAAAACACCGGGGGAGGGGGGGGCAGAAAAAAAAAGGTTGACCTTCGCCAGAAAAGATGGAGAAGGGAAGGGAAGGGAAGGGCAGGGTGATCCAAAGCGGATTATATTTTAGTGTCCAGCAGCGTCTTACTACGGCGTCCACCGCTCCTCCTCCCCTCCCGACCGTGGACAGGTCTTGACTATTCAATAGCTCGTGCCCTAACCCGCGCATCCAAGCACGCGCGCGCGAGGATTTCACGCCACACAACATGCCACGCGGGATGGTGGTCCCTTCTTTGCGCTTCCCACACGGAGGGCAGACAGCGAGAGAGGTAGGGTTTCGGCGCCCCGGTGGCAGGCGCCAACTCCAGCAACCGAAGGCAGATCCGGATGGTCGGGCAAGGGGCGGGGGAAACAGACGGGGGACGGGATCGGGACTGATCAACGGCCGGGCGGGAGGCTGGAGGACAACCGTCCGGAACCGCAATAGCACCTCTGTCTTTTGTTTCGTTTCGTTTCCCCGAAAGAGGAACAGTAAGTAGCAGATCGTCAAGTGGCTCAAGAGCATTTGAAAAAGCGTGCAAGAAGCATCGCTTGAAAGTACTGGCAAAGCCCCCGCGAGGGTCTGCTTCAAGTATCTGGTCGAAGCTTGAACAATCCGCCTCTGGGGGCACTTTGCAGTCACGCTCGCTCGCCGCCGCCTCGGCGACCCTCTCCCCCGCGCGTACCGGGATCACCTCGCCAACTAGACGAGGTCTCTTTCCCACGGCGCCTTCCCGGGAAGAAGCGGCGTTAGGGCAAGGCTTGCAAAGAGGCGACGGCGAAGGCTGAGCCCGGGTCTCCATCGCTGCTACTGCAGCGGCAGCAGCTCCCGGCGGACGAAACGGAGCCCGGGGAGCCCGTGGTGGAAGAAGTCTCGGCCGCCGTCGAAGCCGCCAACTGCAACCTCCGCACCGCCTCCTTGATGAGGTTGCCGGAGAGGATGAGCTGCTGCAGGAGGCGGTGAGGGTCGCCGTCCTCCTCGTCCTCGTCGTCGCCGGCGGGCAGCAGCGACCGGTAGCGGTGGCGACGGGGCTGCTTCCTCCCAGCCCGAGCGGAGCTCCGCAACCAGCCCTGGCCGCACAGCTGCTTGGAGACCCGCGGGCTGCCCTTCTGGTCCGCAGTGGGCGGCAGCGGCGGCGACGGCGGCCAGAGGAGCAGCGAGGGCGATTGGCGCGGGTGGGACGGCGGGTGGCGATGGTGTAGCGAAGCTAAGAAGCCGAGACTTCTCGGGGACGAGTAGGGAGCCACTCGGTCCCGGCCGTGGTGCCTGGGGAGGAGGCGGGGAGCCGCCGGCGTCCGGTGCTGGGAGCTCAACTGCAGCACCTCGCCCAGCTTGGCCACCAAGGCGTCCACTTCTTTGGAACCGCTGCCGGCCGTCCCGGCGCCGCTCTGCAAAGAGACGGCGGCGCGCTCCAAGAATAGGAAGCGTTCTCCGCCCGGCCGCCGGCAAGGCATCGCCGCTGCTCGCCTGCCTGCTTCCCCCTTCGCTTGGCACGCGACGCTGTTTCTGGGGCGGCCACCGCAGCGCCGGCGCTCGTAACTGCCAAGCGAGCCCTCTCCCGCACGCTCCCTGCCTTCTCCAACGCTGTTGTTGGTGCTGCGGTTGGTTTGTAAACAATGGATGACGCGCGCCGGGCGCGTCCAACCGCTCCCACCAAAAGAGGGGGGGGCGGACACCTCAAGGGGTTTCGCGTTGACGGAGAATTGCGTCTCTTCCTACTGGCCTAGAGTCTTCCGTGGTAGCTCGAGTATCCCAGGGGGATATAAGAGTGCGAAAGCCGCGAAAAAGGAGATTCGTGAAAAAGGTTTCTTCCCCTGTATCTTTCTATCCTCCCCCCTGTATGTAAAGAGTCTGCGTTCCGGTGGACTCGCCTGCTATTTTAACGTTGGGGGCCGCGGAGCGTGGGCGGGGTCTCTGAGATCGAGAGCAGGGGGCGGGGCGAGGGTGGCGTCATGATCCTGGTTTGGAGCCAGCGGAGGTCAGCATGGCAACACAAATACGTGTGTGTATACACACGCACAGAGAGAGACAGAGAGAGAGTCGGCATGCATTGTAAAGATAGGATCTAAGGCAGGAGGGACGGCTGGTTCGTTTGTAGCATATTTGCCCTGGAATAAACGTACACTAATTTATTCCACTGGGGTGTTTTCTCCCAAGTAAATGTGCAGAAGACTTGAATTACTACGAGAGCTGAGCTGGGGAGGGGAAACTTAGTAAAAACTTCCCAGTAAGCTTATTGAACAGTAGCGCTTCTGCTGAAAACCTATTTGCCAGCAGTTGCACTCTCTTTTTTCATTTGCCATAATGCCGCAGGACAAAGCTTTATTATTATTTATTTATTTAATTTATATTGCTGCCTATTCGCCCATGGCGACTCGAGGTGGCTTAAAACCACATTTAAAATTAAAAATAAATAAAATAAAATAAAAAACTAACAAAAAGAATTGAATAGAATAGAATTCTTTTATTGGCCAAGTGTGATTGGACACACAAGGAATTTGTACTGGTGCAAATGCTCTCCGTATACATAAAAAAAAGATATTTGTTGAGAGTCAAGAATCATCAGGTACAACACTTAATGATAGTCATAGGGTACAATAAGCAATCAAATCATCCTAGGAAACAGTCCATGTAAATAGTAAGGATGCAGTCACGAGTGAAAAGGGATGGGTGATAAGAAGTGATGAGAAGATTAATAGTAATTGTAGTGCATAATAAATAAAGTACAATAGAACGATATCTGGAAAAAAATAAATCACCCCCCAACACTCACCCACCCCCGCCCCGACAACAGCAGATCACACAAGCCATTTGATGGGCTCCATCCTGCACTGGGTTCCCCAGGCCCTATGGCAGAACCAGGTCTTCAGTGCCTTCTGGAAGAGTGCTAGAGTGGGGGCCATTCTAATCTCTGGGGAAATGATATTCCAGAGAGAAGAAGCCACCATGGAGAAAGCCGTTCTTCTGGGTCCCAACAGGTGCATCTCCTTCAGGGATGGGACCCACAACATTGCCTCCCTCCCCGCTCTAATGGGTCGGGTAGATGTGACCGGCAAGAGACGTTCCTTCAGATAACCCGGTCCCAAGCCATGAAAGACTTTAAAGGTGACAACTAGTACCTTGAATTGCACCCAGAAGCAAATCAACAATCACTGCAACTCCTGCAGGAGAGGTGAAACGTGCACACAAGAGTCTGCACAAAACCAAGTGGGCTGCTGCATTTTGCACCGGATGTTCTTCAAGGGCAGCCCCATGTACAGCGCATTGCAATAATCAAGACAGGAAGTGACTAGGGCATGAGTGACTAAGTAGGGACCGTTGGTCCAGGAAAGGGCATAACTGGTGCACAACCCACAGTAGACAGACAGACAGACAGACAGATAGATAATATGATGGATAGACGACAGATGAAAGATAGATAGAGAGATAGAGATAATTAAAAGATTGACGACAGATAGATAGATAGACAGACAGACAGACAGAAATCCTTTAATGCTAGGCATTATGGGAAATTAAGGCTGTACATGCTGGGATTGGGTAATTGATCTCAAAACTTTTGATCTGATCTTCTTTGTAGACAATAGTGGTAATCCAGCTTCTAGTTAAAAAAAACTTATACTAAAGAATCTGTGGGACCTTTCCCAGAGAGATTTACAAATGTTTTATCCTTTTGAAGTTGAAATTGTCTTTGTGGCTATTGAAACAGGTTGCTTTGGCTCTGTGCACTGCTACATTTATTTTATTTGGAAGTAGAAAGTGACAGGTATATAAAACTGTCTTACATAATTAAATATTAAAAGAAAAAGGTCTGAAAAATTCTAAACAATTTGAAAGATTTATTCAAGGGCTCCTCCTTTTTCAAAAGAATTGAAATGTGGACGACAGAGGCTTTTTAGTTTTTGCTAGATACCCCGTGAGCTGTTGGATTATCCTTTCGGATATATATTATCTCCTTACTAGACAGAGCATGCAAATTTAACCTCCCAGCCACATTCCTACTATCAGTTGTAGTCATGTTGTTAAATATGCATGTGCTACATTTACACGAGTTCATGTCATATGCAAAGTGGAGTCTGATATCAGACTCCACTTATTGGTTCAGCCGCTGGCGGGAAGATTGGGTCCCTGTCAGTGGCTGAAGTGTTGGACAGCGCCGGCTATAAAAAGCCGGTGCTGGCCGCATTTATTGGCTTTTTGATTCCAGTTGTAAATAAAGAGTTCCTCGCACTTCTGAGTCTGCTCCTTCCTCGTCCGTGCCCTTTTAACACTGGCGACGATGATGGGATGCTGAGGAAGACAAAGGACCTCATGGGACACCACGGCTAATTCCCAGCTGACTCGTGAACTCGACCGTTCAGACCGACAGCGAAACAACATGGCCCACCGACCCCTATCAATCCCATTCGAGCCAACCAAAGAGAAGTGGTCCTCATACATGGGAAGATTCAACCTAAATCTGGTGGTGAATGGAATGCATGCAGAATCCGATGTGAAGAAGAAGGCTTACTTCTTGACTTATTGCGATTCGGAACTCAATGAATTAACCGAAGCCCTCGTTGCAGAAGATGTAGAGAACGTCTCCTGGGACGAACTGCAATGAGCATTGAAAGGGCATTTTGACCCTACCACATCGTACCTGGCAAACCGGAACGACTTCTATATATGGAACCAAAAAAAGGGGGAAAGTATAAGTGATTTTGTGGCCGCACTGAGGAAACTGTCAAAGAACTGCAAGTTCTCAAACACTGAAGAAATGATCTGGGATTGGCTAGTCCTCGGCCTTAAGGATTTAACCCTGCAGAAGAGACTGTTCACAAGAGAGGACGTCTCCTTCGAGGAGCCTCTGGAAGAAGCAAAAGCCGCAGAAGCCTCTGACTCTTCTGCAGCCCGAGTCAAGGGCAACAACAGGCCACGAGGTGAAAACCGTGTAATCCATCCGGCTCCGAAAGCAGCGACAGTGAGAAGGAAGATGTCTACCAGGTAAAAAACCAGCAAACCCAAAACCACCAAGGGAATCAAGCCTTGCAGAAGCTGCAGAGGAAATCATCCTCAGTCCACCTGCCATTTTAAGGAGGCGATCTGCAGGCGATGCAAGAGGAAAGGCTACATCGCAGAAGCCTGCAGAGCCAGCCAACCAGCGGATAAATTGAGCTGCAGAACATCCTCCCCGAACAGACCATACAAGGATCGGAGGACATTCGGTATGAAATTCAAAAAACAAGATGGTGGCCGGGAAGAAGAAACCCACCATACAATCGGAGGCTACACACACATTCGCATGGGACACGCAGACACTATTGAAGCCAACAAGTTTCTCACTGAAGTGAGGCTTGATGGAACCCTATGGTCAATGGAAGTGGACTCAGGGTCTTATATATCAATGATATCCTGGATGGCCCTCCAAAAGGGCAACCCCAAACAGAACAGCGGAGGACTTAGCTGTGGGGGGAGGAGTCCAGCGTAGTACTTCTGAGGCCTCTAACAGAAACTGCCATGCCCCCGGAAACTTTTGAGATGCTTCCAAGGGCAGAGTCGGGAGCAGTGGTGGACCTGTCTGCTCAGGCCACCGCCTCAGGAACAACTGAACCGCGAAGGCCCAGTCGCACCCACAGAAGCCCCGCCTACCTGAAGGACTACATCTGCTGCGTATGTGGTGATTGGCCGGCCTGAACTAAAAGGAGAGGGGTGTTAAATATGCATGACGCTACATTTACATGAGTTACGTCATATGCAAAGTGGAGTCTGATAACAGACTCCACTTATTGGTTCAGCCGCTGGTGGGAAGATTGGGTCCCCGTCAGCGGCTGAAGTGTTGGACAGCACTGGCTATAAAAAGCCGGTGCTGGCCGCGTTTATTGGCTTTTTGGTTCCTTGCACTTCTGAGTCTACTCCTTCCTCGTCCGTGCCCTTTTAACATATGTGATCCCCATTGACTATTTCCTTGCAAGTTCCCCTGGCTTCCCCATTGATTTGTGAAAAGGTTCCAGGGAAGGTTGCAAATGAGGATCACATGACCATGAATAACAACAGCACAATGGCACTGAAATGGCAAAAACTTTCCAAAATTTCATTCCCATGGGAGTAATGGCTCTCACCATTCTGTAAGCTAGCTCATTTGAAGTACCTTAGTTGAAAATGTTTTGCCCTGTGATGCATTGTTTCACCCAATTAAAGGTTATGGACGTGAGAGTTTTAGTGGTGTACTAGATAACCTGTCACCCTTTGGGTCATCATTTCAGAGATATTTTCTTTCCTAAAGAAAGAAACAGAAAACCATGAATGGGAACGATTTTTTATTTCCTATTGGCTTCCCCATTGAATTTCCTTGTGGAAACATGGCAGTGAGCATCAAAATCTCCCTCCCTCCCTCCCAGGAACCAGCTCCCAGTGTACAGGTTGTTGACTTATGACCACCACTTAGCACAACCCTTTGAAGTTATGTCAGATCTCCCAGGGGTTTCAAATTTCTGATGGCCATTCCTCCTGCAGTGACATGACTGTATTTGAGATGCTTGGCATGTGCTTATAACCATTTGTTATAAATGGTTATAAATATTTGCAGTCACATGATTGTGTTTTATGATGGTTTTGCCAAAAATAGGCATTTACTTTCAATTTTTGACAAAACTAGCCCATAGTGAACCATTGGCTTGCTTAAGAACTGTAGCAGTTACGCAATGGCTCTGGTGTTCACTTAATGACTGCCACAAAAAAGGTTATTAAGTCAACAAACTGCAATGTATTCAACCAATTGTAGTGAAGCCTAGACAATCCGTGTAAAAATAACAAACCAACTGCTGAGGGGAAGAGACGTGTTTCTCTCTCCAATAATATTCCACGATACCCTTAATGAATTGTGCAATGAAAATAGGAAAAGTCTGTTTTTCTTAGCCTGCTTTGTCCCATAAAGTGAATAAACTTATCTGTTTGCAAAGAGTAGGATTCCTTTCCTCAGAAGTGTTGTCTTCCATTCTGTAAATACAGAGGGTTTCTT